ATAGTACACACACACAAAAAAAAAAAAAAGGAGTTCCTCTTGTTACAACTCTGCTGAGAAGATGTACACAGAAATTAAACTTTTTACATCAGGTAAATGCACCGTCAACCCATTTCGGTGTATTCCTGTAGTTATTACGATATAAACATATAAGATTGTGTGACAACTCATTCTTTGAGTCGTATATCCCGATGTTATAGCTTTAACATCACAGCTAGATACTGTGAAACTAGCATAGCTTTCTCCCAGACTTGACTTGGCAATCATCCCACAAACTTTTATACCAGGAAGTTGTGACAATGTTTAAACTCGCTCGTGTGCAATGATACAGTGGTGTATCAGTAGAAGGAACTGAAAAGGACCACAAGTTATGAAAACAATACTTTATTTCACACACACACACACACACACCTGAAAACCCAGGCATGACACTGAACTTATAGTAAACATTATTATGGCTATAGATTTTTTAAACTAATAAGAAATGTAGTCACTACACCCAACCTGGAGTATTTGACAGGTATGGATAAAGATTTGGTTAAATTTTTTATACACTCAACATGATCTAAAAAATTAGTAATACTGTTTCATGTAAAGTTACCCAAAGGCTATCTATGCCAATGGACTAAGTGCAAGGCAGTTAATTAACAACAACACTCATTGCCAACTATTGGGGTACTCTTGTCTGATCGAATAGCGGGATTTGAATGCCACTCTTATAATGCACTCATGTTCCCAAAGTGAGGGGATAATTTTTATGGCAACGAAACACATACCATGAATCTTGGGTTAAAAGTCTGGGCATGCTGTCCATCAGGCCAGGCCTAACACGATTAGAAACACATCTAACAATTAAAAAATATATATATTAAACAACATATTGAATGAAACGTTGAATAGCTTGTTAATGTTTTAATGGATTTTATGTAACACTTTTGGAAAGGTAACTAATTAACAAACCAAAACAACTATTACATATATTTAAAACCAATACAAAAATCTTGAAAAAACAAACAATATAACTACAACACTACTTCAAATATAGTTTTGTGAAGCAGTTCACGCAGTTGTCATTTATACAGCATGGATTTAAATATTAGTGTGAAGGATTTGTATTTCGTATCTTACAAATTTTGTAAGTCATATCACAACTTATCTCCACAGGAACTTCAATAATTACCTTTATTACTACAATAAATATTTTTACACGTACAAGTTACCAATATTTAATACAAACATACTTATTTTACAAAGTAACACTACTATACAATTTGTTCAGATCATAATGTTAGTGGGTAACAACTAAACTTTACATTAAAATCTAAATAGTATTCAACATTAAACTGGTACACAATTAGAAACATTTTATTTAGGCCTATCTATGGCCTGAGGATGACGTTGTAACGTCGAAACATGTAGAGTCCTCAACTTTTTGAAGGCTATAGATAGGCCTAAATAAAATGTTTTTAATTGTGTACCAGTTTTAACGTTGAATATTATTTATGATTTTAACTTTATACACAAGTGCCAAAATACTATAATTATTTCATAACTATAATGAAACAGTTAATGATGATAATATTAGTAAGATAACAAAACGAGAATAAAACAGAAATTCTGGGAAATGAAATTATTTTAATAGTGATGGCGACATGAGAATAACAAAATACTTTTATCTTCAAGACTAAACAAGTCACATCCATTGCAGACGACTCGCTTTGCTCAATCCAGAGCTCTTCAGGTTGGCTGGGATACAACAAACACAGTTATGTAAGTCGTTTGTTACAACAGTAGTCGTTGTGATGTGTACGCCGTTTACAAGCTGCTAAAGTTTATTACAGTTATATATTTGTCACAAATAAAATAATTGTTAATCATTTCCAACTAGTTTTTATCGCTAGGGTTAGCATATAGAGATTTTTATATGTTTACACAAGTTACTAATTGAACAACATACCGGTCATCATTTAGTAAACTTATTAAAGATAGTGTTAGTATAGAAACGGGTATACATAGTATTTTAAACAAAGATAATTTTCTTATCTAGATACGCTGATTGTATTATCAAACACTGACATTTAGTCTATTTTGTAAGCTATATATCTATTTATTTGCTAACTAATGATTTGATAATTTTCATGAAACGAATCTATAATCTACGTTCGAAAGTGCTGGAACAAGACTTAAGGCCACATTACATCATCAAAAACCTGCAGCTCCATCTAGTTATCAAATATATAGCTTACAATTCTTTAATTTTCTTGTTGAATTGTTATAATTATAAAGTTCCTCTGAGTATATTAATCGTGAGATTTAAACAAAGTTATTAGCGTATTCTATTCACAAAAGCGATCCCAACAGTACTGTAATACCCTACAATGTTATACGCATTCCTACACATATTATTAGATTACACTAACTATTGATTTGTTTTTTTGACAGTGATATTGAAACTTCTTGTTCGTAGAATTAAAATGGAACATAAATAAAATTATTAATAACCAAAACAAATACGGTAAACTCGGGTATTAAACTACTAACTTTTTGGGTTGTCCACAAACCTCATGATTTTTCAGTTCGTGTTCTATGAACAGCCACAGCAGCTGTTGATGTTCCAAGATATCTTTCCAGTTATCCTCAGCAGTGGTTGTATCTTTATCTCCCCTTGTTCCTAAACTCAGCTTAAGTCTAATCTGTCCCTGAATTGTCGAACGAGCTGTCCGTCCTTGAAGAGGATAGAACTTATCCAAACCGTTCGAAGGAATCTCCTAACCAGAAAACTCCAAATATTAACATAATATCTATATGTTAACAAAATGTATCTCTCATAAAGAACTTATTTTATCTATACACTACAGGGCTAGAGTAAACTTATAGTTATTAAGAGGGTTCAGTTAAATTCGACTCTCTTTTGTTTATGTAGTTATCAGACTAATAACTGAAAACGTTCTCTAGAAGCTTTGTAATAAAAGAAATAACTAAATATTTGTTCGTTTATTTGCTGTTGAGCGCAAAGCTACACAACAGGCTATCCGTGTGTGCTCTGGCCGCCACGGGTTTCGAAACTCTATTTTTTGAAATAAACGGCGGGGGTGTGGGAACAGAACTATTCTTGATGAGTCTAATGTTTATTATATTGGAAATCAGATAGCCCATTACTCAAACTAAGGGTTTATTAAGTACTTAATTTCGAAACTTTAGTCTAATTGCAATTTGCATAAGACATAAAGATAGGCAGAATAACGAAGATATAAAGATGCTTTTATAAATATATGATGTTAGGACAAACTCAAACTAACAAATATATAATGTCAATATAAAATATTGAAAAACAATACATATAATGTGTCAGTATGAACTAAAAACGATAAGTATGTGATGTCAGTGGGATTTGACTATAACTATTATAACGCACCCACGGCTCCAGAGTATGAGCGCGATTTCGCGGCGATGGGTTGCGAGCATTAAATCCTTGGATTCAAAGTTCGTCATGCTAAACCTCTAGGCCGCGCCCAGTACTATATGATGTCAGCGAATATTAAAAAAAAAACAAAAAACAATCAACAGACGACCGACGTTAGAATAAGCTAATCAATATAAATACACGATAACCGGGTTTCGATACCCGTGGTGGGCAGAGCACAGATAGCCCTTCGTGTAGCTTTGTGCTTAATAACAAACAACAATAATATTAGCTATAAATTATTGGTGACAAAAAATAAATAGTAGTATTTCCAAATTATTTCACACATTAGGCCTCTTCGGATGACGACCATTAAAACAAAGGTCGAGTTTGACTTATTTGGGGGATACGACACCTCCAAATACAGTTTTGGTTACTTTTGCAATGTATGATCATAGTATGGGCCACGAATAAGGGCTTGATGTGACTCGCGAGCGACTTATTGGAGGCCACTGTTCTATAGGTATTAGAAGCAAAAATTCGGTAGAGCCTGATAGAAAGAGTGAAAATAATAGGATTTTGTGGCCTTTCGTTTAGATAAATTTGATAAAAGTTGCTTGTTTAAAAATCTATAACACTTAATTAAAACTCCGGTCTACGAAACCAAAGTACAATGTTTGATAGGTTGTTTAGGTAGAGTATTCATAATGACTTTTAAACTGAATATTTTTTATTAGCACGTGGAGATTCACAGTCTGCTACATATTGTATTTGCACTCAGTAGAAAATGGTGGCTGTTTTTGACTGTAGGGCAAACACTAACCATCTTTCAGAGTTTTAGTACTGTTCATTCCAAACCCAGTCAAAAAAAAAAAATGATGTCGAACGTTTTACCAACCTCTATTGGTATCGTGATGCAGCCTAAAAAATCATCTTTGTTTTCTTCACTTCTGGCTGATTGGTAAATCTGTTTGAAGTATCTATAGAAAGAAATAAAATAAAAACGCCATTACTTACACATTACTCTCTCTCTCGTTCTTTATACTCCTGTTTCTTTAGTTAAAAAATAAATCCATCTTAAGTCCACTGTCTGTTCTCAAGTGATCATAATGTTGTAACGGTTTAACCAATTATCAGTATTGTTAAAACTAAAATTTTCAACACAGCTAAGTTAGTAGGCTACTAACAATAGGTTATGTGCCTACCAACTCTCTCATACAAAAATAAAAGTCAGTGCCCTTAGAATTTTAATCCTCTGAATCATCTTGTCAAATTGTCTCCCTTGCAAGATATAAAGGGTTAATATAAGAAACTCATATAACTTATATACTCTGTTCGGTACCAATGCGTATCTTAACGGTTCATAAAACGACAGATTATAAAACTTTGACTTGAATGATCAATTTATTTTATGTTAAATAGAAGCAAGTGAATATTATAAAGTTTAATACCAGTGATAAAGTCCTTTTCTTACCCATGATTAAACAACTGAAGGAAGTTTTAATACAATCTAACATTCTATCATTTGTATTTAATATTAGCTCTAGCAAGCGTTACTGATTTATTCACAAAGTTTGTTCTTGTTGTTGTCACTAGTTACTACTTGTTACTCAACTGTGTTCTTGTTATTGTCACTAGTCTATCTGTTACTCATCTTTGTTCTTGCTACTGTCACTGATTACTACTTGTTACTATTAATATTTACTCACCTTTGTTGTTTTTACTGTTACTAGTTGCTACTTGTTACTCACCTTTATACTTGTTACTATTAACATTTACTCACCTTTGTTGTTGTTACTGTTACTAGTTGCTACTTGTTACTCACCTTTATACTTGTTACTCAACTGTGTTCTTGTTACTGTCACTAGTTGCTACTTGTTACTCAATTGTGTTTTTGTTATTGTCACTAGTTGCTACTTGTTACTGTCACTAGCTGCTACTTGCTACTGTCACTAGTTACTACTTGTTACTCATCTTTGTTCTTGCTACTGTCACTAATTACTACTTGTTACTATTAATATTTACTCACCTTTGTTCTTGTTACTGTTACTAGTTGCTACTTGTTACTCACCTTTGTTCTTGTTATTGTTACTAGTTGCTTCTTGTTACTCATCTTTATACTTGTTACTAGTTGCAACTTGTTACTCACCTGTGTTTTTGTTACTGTCGCTAGTTGCAACTTGTTACTCACCTGTGTTTTTGTTACTGTCGCTAGTTGCAACTTGTTAGTCACCTGTGTTCTTGTTATTGTCACTAGTTGCAACTTGTTACTCACCTGTGTTCTTGTTATTGTCACTAGTTGCAACTTGTTACTGTCACTAGTTGCAACTTGTTACTCACCTGTGTTCTTGTTACTGTCACTAGTTGCTACTTGTTACTCACCTGTGTTCTTGTTACTGTCACTAGTTGCTACTTGTTACTTGTCATTCCAACTTTATATTGTTGTCGAACTTCAACCCAGAAAAACGGCCAGTCAAGGACAAAACAGATGACCAGGTAGGATGTATTTATGTATGTAAGCTGACTCGTGTATTAACAAGACATACCAACAATAAGGTTAATCTCACACGTAATCTCAGATCAACAATAAGGTTAATCTCACACGTAATCTCAGATCAACAATAGGTTCAACCTCACACGTAATCTCAGATCAACAATAGGTTCAACCTCACACGTACACCCTGATAATATAGGTAGCAGGAGGAGTAATGTAATAATTATGTTAAAGTTCGACCAATGACATGAATATTATTGGCTGTCTTCAAAAACACACCTTCCGAGACCTTTAAATCCCGACACTTCGTTCAATTTGCGTGCAGCGTCAAAGACAGATGACTCGTCGTCGTGGTCCCTGTAATAAAAAAAACAACTTCTGTTTTATTTTTAAGTGCACGACTGCTATATCTAATCGTTAATGAGCTGTATGACGGTTTTATCCGGTCTACTTAGCACACAGTTATTATTCTGTGAAATATAAGCATTCCGTTTTATTTTAGTTATAAATGTTTAGCTTATATCATAATAGAACAAGCTCCCAAAATAAAAATTAATCTTAAAACTAAAGTGATTTTATCTAATTTAGAAGCTCAGTTTGCAGTACTGTTTAAATAAAAATGATTTTTTGTATATTCATTTTTCTTTGTTTGTTTTTGAATTTAGCGCAAAGCTACCCGAGGGCTTTCACCGCTAACCGTCTCTAATTTAGCAGTGAAAGATTAGAGGGAAGGAAGCTAGTCATCACCATCCACCGCCAACTCTTTGGCCACTCTTTTACCAACGATTTGTTTGTTTGAAGTTAAGCACAAAGCAACACAATGGGCTATCTGTGCTCTGCGCACCACGGGTATCGAAACCCGGATTCTAGCGTTGTAAGTCCGCAGACATATCGCTGTGCTACTGGGGGGGGGGCATTTTACCAACGAATAGTGGGATTGACCGTAGAATTATAACGCCCCCACGGCTGAAAGGGCGAGCATATTTGGTGGGACGGGGATTCGAACCCGCGACCCTCATATTGCGATTCAAGCGCCCTAACCACCTGGCCATGCTGGGCCCTTCATTTATGTAGGTGCATAGAAAAATTGTATGTTTATCTAAAACCTAATATTTTTAAAAGTTTAAGTGAGGTTATTAAGGATTCGATCACTTAAGCAGATGAGCAAGAAGAATTGTGATAAGAATAACAGAAAATAGTCCCTATTTCCCGGGAAAGTAAATTAATTGCTTCAGTTCTCGTCCGTGCAATATATATTAGTGTCCGTGGAAGTCAGTCAGTTTATAAAGATAATAACTTCAGATTAGAGTAAGCAATATACTTAGAGTGAAACTCGAAAACAACGTGGCAAGTAATATAGTTAATTAGTTAAAAGTTTCTACTTATAAAGATCTTATAACAGAAAACTTGTTCTATATAACTTAGGTTTAATGTGTTTCATTAGGGTTATGGAATCTATTTAACTTAGGTTTAATATTCACACTATAGAATAATGCCTTGTTTGACCTAACTCTTATCTATTCACACTATAGAATAATGTCTTGTTTGACTAACTCTTATCTATTCACACTATAGAATAATGTCTTGTTTGACCTAATTCTTATCTATTCACACTATAGAATAATGTCTTGTTTGACCTAACTCTTATCTATTCACACTATAGAATAATGTCTTGTTTGACTAACTCTTATCTATTCACACTATAGAATAATGCCTTGTTTGACTAACTCTTATTTATTCCCAATGTTTTGCTGGTCTCTGCTAGTATGTAACAATGCAAGCTCGTGGTTAGAGCTACATACCACAGAACTTGTAACAATGCAAGCTCGTGGTTAGAGCTACATATCACAGAACTTGTAACAATATATGGTTGTTATAGAGACTACATACCCCAGAACTTGTAACAAGATATGGTTGTTATAGAGATTACATACCACAGAACTTGTAACAATATATGGTTGTTATAGAGACTACATACCACAGAACTTGTAACAATATATGGTTGTTATAGAGACTACATACCACAAAACGTGTAACAAGATATGGTTGTTATAGTGATTACATACCACAGAACTTGTAACAATATATGGTTGTTATAGAGACTACATACCACAGAACTTGTAACAATATATGGTTGTTATAGAGACTACATACCACAGAACTTGTAACAATATATGGTTGTTATAGAGACTATATACCACAGAACTTGTAACAATATATGGTTGTTATAGAGACTACATACCACAGAACTTGCTGAAATTCAGTTACGTTTCCTTGAATGGCATGTTGAAGTAAGATGGTCAGTGCTGGCTTCGGGAGGTCACCTGTCCACTCATAGCTTTTGCCCTTATATCGAAAATGGAGTATGGCTGAATATCAATTCATACATTTCAAAAGACTGAAGTTTAATGATCCTTAACGGCATAAAAGATTTGGATACATCAAACAGGTTACCGAATAAATAAGGGTGACGCACAAACTATTTGAATAATTTATTAATTAAAAAAAATTATACAGAAAACTTTTTCATATTTAACTATATAGTGATTTAAGTTTTCTTTCCATATTCAAACACTTTAAACCTAAGTTAAATTAATTTCATAACCCTAATGAAACACATTAAACCTAAGTTAAATTGATTTCATAACCCTAATGAAACACCTCTTATCTATTCACACTATAGAATAATGTCTTGTTTGACTAACTCTTATTTATTCACACTATAGAATAATGTCTTGTTTGACCTAACTCTTATCTATTCACACTATAGAATAATGCCTTGTTTGACATAACACTTATCTATTCACACTGTAGAATAATGTCTTGTTTGACTAACTCTTATTTATTCACACTATAGAATAATGTCTTGTTTGACTAACTCTTATTTATTCACACTATAGAATAATGTCTTGTTTGACTAACTCTTATTTTTAGGTCAAACAAGACATTATTCTATAGTGTGAATAAATAAGAGTTAGTCAAACAAGACATTATTCTATAGTGTGAATAGATAAGAGTTAGGTAATATGTGTAATAC